TAATCCGCTGCATTTATAAATATTTATTTAGAACCAAGCTAAATTGTTATTTATTGTTAATAAAGTGAAATGTGAAGTATAAACCAGCCAGCTGATGTAGTAGTTTTTTCGCTGTATATATCATCCCCCGTTCACTTACTGGGTATCCCGTGGATCAAAAATAAAGTATCCGCTTGTTTATGGATGGATAAAAAGGCAGCTAGTACTTTTGACGGGTTCGGTTCTCGTTCTCGGCCTATTGTTTATCTTGGTCGACGCACCTGCCAGCGATCCTCTCCAGCTCTCGTATACGTCAATTGATCGGAAGTGTCCAACGCCCCTCGGCAGGCTGATAAAAATTGTGAGAATCGCTGAATGGGTTTCTGTTTTGGCAATTGCCAAATTTTAATTGCAAATCCTCCTCGAACTGAACTGACGTCAGAGTGAATGAAGAGCTGCGTACTGCGGATCACAAATATATATTTATAGAGTTGCGAATAATATTTATTGGAAGACCGGGACCGGGTGCAATGCCAGCCAGCAGATCGATCCTATTGCAAAAGCTGAGCTAATAGAGGAGCTATGTAGTTGGAGCTTAGGTTTCGCGGCGCCTTGTTCTATCGCCTGCCGGTGGTCTCTGTTTGTCTCAGATTATTGTTTGGAGAACGGTCTATTTACCAACTAATTATATTACACATTCAGTCGCTTTCCGGCGAAGCCCTTGCGCAACTGGGAGGAGGGTCATGCGTCACGGAGTTAGTTCATCGATTTCGTTGGCGCATGAACGATCGCAACACTCGACGAAAATTGGCTCTGTTCTCGATTAGATAGTCGTGATATTTATTAATAACATTAGCCCTCTCGCCTGACAAATATATCACTTCTCACCTTGCCAATGGGCAATCAGCTGGCAACGAGCCGAACCGGAGAGTTATGCAATTTCCAGAAGCACCAAGATTTGTTTGTTTGTCCAATTGGGGGAAACCTGGTACTTCAAGGTGAAGGCGTTGCTAGCTCCTTCCCTTGAACGGAACGGATCGGAGAGTGTGTCCGCAGCTGACTGGAGTTTCAAAGGTGTCGGGTGGTGTTCTCCACGGAATACTTTGAACGTTGACTTAATTGATTAGAGCACCTGACTAACTTTTCTTTGGGGGGATTTTGCAGCTTTGACAATTCTTAATTTCTGTGTAAATATTGATACGATATCTCTCCCCATTGTGCGTTGTGTGTGCATTCCCCATTACTTTTTGGATCGAATGCAAAACTTATATAACTGAAAGATGGGAGAAAATTTTCCATTTGCCTGATATTTGTATAGGGTTCTTAATGGCAACGAGGAATCTCATCAAATGCAAAAGGCTGACCCACATTGCAGGGTCATTTATATGGCGGAATTTCGCTTTCATTAACTCACTGACTAAGTGACAAAGTAACTGACTGACTTTGTCCCACAATGGATCGTCGATGGAGCTGGAACTCAGCTGGGCTTCTGGCTAATGGAGGCCTGCAATGAACCGGAAATTCACAATTAACCGTCAATCCCCCAGCCGAGTTTCATAACCAACTGCATTTGGAGTCGACTCCATCGGTTTGGGGGTGCTTTCGGAATCCCAAATCCGTATATGGAAATCGCACGTTACGGCTCATTGGCCACTGGACATTTATTTGTTTCTCTTTTCAGTCTAGGTGTAATTTTTCGGATGCCTTCTTTGGCCCTCAGCGAATGGGATAAACAAGCGAACTGAGGCGGCGGCTCGGTTGGTTATTTTAATTGTCTGTACGTGTTGTTCTACAAAGGCTTGTTCGCTGGCTGGCCAAAAAAATATTATTACATTAAATTATGATCTGACTGACTGGCGGCAACGTGGTCACCCGATTCGGCTCTGGTTCGAAAGACAACTATCAAAGTGGGCGCCTTTATTTGGGGTCGGGGCGATTACAGTTACGCTGACGGGGAGAGTTCATTGGAGTCGCCACACGCCATTATTTTCATTATATTTTCTTTATGATATCATGTAAATGCAGTTGGGCTTAAATATAGATAACTGTAGTTTCACTTTTTTCGGCTGGGCCCATTCCTAGAAGGGAATGGGAACGGGATTGGATATTGGATGAGCAGGGCGCAGAGCTTGGACGTGACTAAGCGATGAGAAGGCATTTGCGAGCTTCTTTCTTAGGAATGTCAAAAGGGGTAATCAGATTTCCAGTTATAGAACTTGAAAAACAAAGCTATATAACTATAGGTGTCTTGAGGAACTTCAAGTTAACAATAAACCCCAAGAGATGAATAACTTAAGAGATCCCTGCCTGATCTTCTCCCACATTAGTTATCCTGGCAAACCGGAATCTCCTCGTAAGTCCCTCAAGTTAGTTTGACAAATGCTCATAACCCCTGATTCATTACCCAAAGACTCTCTCCCAGCTTAATCACACCGTTGCCTCGATAAACGATAACAATTTTTCAGTCTAAGCCCCCATCGCAGCAAGCCCCAGGTTGCGAGCTGCGAGTGCAGCAGGCAAATGGCATTCGCAGGTGGTCGCTAATCAACGTAATCAACTTGCAACAAGCTCGTTAGGCGAGGCAGACGCGGCTTCATGGTAATCAGGCCAACGCCAGGTTCTAGCCAACTTCTGAGACGGCAGAGGGGAGCGAAGGTCGCTCTACCCAAATTGGTCGTGGTCTCAATCTGTGCAGAGGGAGAATTTGATTTGGTAAACAACATATATAAATATATATATATATATATAATAACAACAATGAGAAATTTTATAAATATAAAAGTTTATTTAAACTTAGCTGTTGGTTTTATTACCATTTCTTAATACATTAATTAAAGTCTTATATGTTTTTCTCACACTGTAAGACTGGTTTGTCTAGGCAATGAGCCTGACTTTACCGTTGCCCGCGACTTGAACGTTTAGCTGGGTCAAGGTCAGCTTTGGGGCTGCGAGTTCCTGGCCTATTCGCTGGCAGAATCCAGTCAAGAGGATCGAATCGCTGCAACATGGTGGCAGCAATCTTCTCGCAATGCCAGGCACGCACACATCAAGTGGTCGCCATTCAACGCCATCAGAGCCATCGCCATCGTCATCAGGCTGTTCCCATCCATCGGAGGCAGTCCTCCGATGCTCCAGAGATCGATCGATCAGCGCCCAAGTGGCGGTTGCTGCTGCTGCATTTGGTGGTGGCATTGCAAACTGCGTTCCTCATTGATTTTCGTTTCGTTTTCGATTTGATGCGATATTATTCATGCCCAATGCAGTGAAGTAGTCAGAGGGGGATCAGGATTGAACTAGAAATTAGGTGTCTCTGTAAAAATTATTTTATAAATTCGGATATATATTAGGGATTGTTACGCTTTACAATTTTATCCCTGCAATGAATGCCAACACGGCTTTTTAGAAAATATCCTTTACATACTAGCCTATGTCAGATTTCTAGATTTATTTAATCAAATCGATAAAGTTAAATAAATTCGATGAATGAAACTAAACCTAATCTACGCTCCTGTTTGCTTAAAAAACACAATGATCGACGAACACAAAGCTGAAATTTTTCACAAGAAAATATTCATGCGAAGGCGAAAACTGCGCAGGCGCATGTTTTGTCAACTGGCAATCGGTTGGCAAAAAGACATTCGGACATTCGGAGGCTAAGGCTGAGGCCGCTGACGTTTGCGTGACAGCAGATGAAGCAAAAACAGAAACAACAGCAAAAACCTCACATGCAGCAGCAGCAGCAACAACAACAGCAACATCATCCAGACGCCGCTTCAACCAGTTACCAATTTTGGCAGCAAGACTTTCATTTATTTGCAATACGATTTCGGCAGTTTGTAAACCACATATCCCGATATCAAGAAATACAAATATTAAATGTATTATGACAAATTTAATTAAACTATTGAATCTAGAATATAATGGATTTAAATTGAGTTTTAGAGATGCAATCCTCAGAAGCCATTAAGATACTTTTAGGTTCATAAGAAATGGCATTACAAATATAAATAGACAAAATAAAATAGTGTTTGAAAGATATGCAAATTATTTGTCAAAATAATAAATATAAATTTGTTTTACTTTGATGACTAAAAAATAAATTAGAGTAAATAATTAATCAATAAATGGCCAGCTATTTGACATACAAGATATTCCCTTTTGGCTGCAAGTAACAGGGGAATGTGAAAGAAAAGATGACTTTCCTAATGTTGAGATCCATTTCTATATCTATATACATATACTATATCTAAACGATACCGCAGGCGATCGGCATCAAGAATATATAGAGCTTAAAAAACCAGACATTAATTTTACCGTAATTCTACAAGTAGAAATGTGAATTTTACAAAATATCTTTACACTGCTGTTTTTCCGACATCTGGTAGCTTCATTCAAGGTAGGCAGGTTCATACAAATCCATCAGATGGTGCTACATAGAACTATTCCTTCTTACGTTCTAGCCACAATAATATTAAACATTTTATTTATAAACTTTTTTATTACTAATTTTAATTTTACTATTATTATAGTTAAATTTATAATTATTATTATTTTATAGGTATATTAATGTTCCCACCCCCTTTTAAATTATTCTCAGATGCGATGTATCTGCATCCACTGCTATAAAATGTCAGCTACTCGTTGAATACGCTATCTGCCGGGAAACGGCTGAACCTAAAGATATTATATCTTTACGCTACAGTGCAGCGTAAAAAAAGTGATGAAAGTATCTTTACATTAATAATAAACAACTAATTAAATATAAAAAACATATTATATTTTCTTGAAATATCTTTCAATGAATTCAATAAAATATATATAGTTTAAATTTTGTACATCCATTGGATACACCTACCACCATCTCAACGTGTAGGTCAATCTTTGAGGTTGACATGGATGTATCTTTTACTTCTCGACGTCATCGATAGTGTCATCGTCGTTCTTGCATCTCTAGGTAGAGGTGTATTTTTTTGGTTTCGATTATCGATATCAGGTTGACGGTTGTGTCAGCTCTATTCAGTCGATCAGTTGAGTTTTTGAACTTCTTCAACAGGTGTCAATATCGCGGTAGAGTAGAAAGCGATCTAACAAGTTCCCCCGAAATCGGTAACGCCAAAGACAACAACAAATAATATACTCTAATTAACGAACGGAGAGCACGTGACACAAGCGGGCGAATTAATCCGTTTCATTTAAACAATTGCTCCCTCAAAAGGATACGATACGATCCTTCGGTGTGAAAATCCTGGCGACTAAAAAGATTGTGTGTTTCTTGCAGCGACCATAAACCAATTCTTGGATTACCCCGCTTCCCCCAGAGACCAGACGTCTGCCCGCAGACCGTTCATAAGGTGAGTCTCGTTTCCAGTGGATTGGATGGGATCCCATATCCCTCACTCGTGAGTCGGGGACTCGGATTTCGGGATTGTTGGGACTGGAAGAAAAAGTGCAGTGCAAGCGGGGGATGGGATTTCGTCATGCGAACGTGCAAGTGGAAGTGTGACGACGCTAGTGACACTCTCTCGAGCAAGCTGTTGTCTCGCTCGCCGAACGTATCTTTCCATGGCTCTCAGTATCTGTGTGTGTGCCCGTGTCAGTGTGAGTGTGAGCGGGCTACCTGTGGCTTTTTACCTGTGCCGTTCGTTTACAAAAAACATAACGAAGCACGCACACTCTGACAGCGCCCAAATGCAGCTGCTCTCGTGTGTGTGTGTGTGGTGACATATAATTTTTAAACCCGAGTCGCAATTATCTGGATAAGTTCTGCCAGAAAAAGCGCAGATACTTTTGGGTTGAGATACCCTTATCGGCCAGCTTTTACCCGCTCTTAAGCCCAGTTAATGCAAATGCACTGAAAATGAAAATTTCCAAGAGTTGAAAGGAAAAACATTTGCTTTTCAACACAACACACCAACACGAATCCAGCCAGGTAGATAAGATTACACCTGTGTGTGGGGCATATGTATGTATGTATGCGAGTCCGGTTGGGGAGAGAGGGGGAAAAACGAGAGGGAAAGGGGTGAAGAAACCGGTAATGCATTTACTCAAAAGAAGTCACCTTCATAACAAATTCAACGCTACCGCCGAGCTGAGCTGCAAAAACCCAACATGCCCAACTGTCACCGAGAGAGAGATAAATCTATATAGTTTAGGTCCGACCGTGATCGCAGTTTGCATATGGCATACACTCGTCTTTAACTATGGCAGATGGGCAACGGAGCTTGAATAAATATTGGAAAAGCTGAGGCTCCGCTCGGGCCCAGTTTTTCAGCTCCAAAGGTCGATGCATAAATCGACGTCTTTACGGGCTTTAAGTGCACGCAAAAAAATTAAGCTCCGATTGATTTATACTCTTAAGAGATGAATTTTAAAAATTTATACTTGTATTTGGAAAATTTAAAATTTTTAAAATGAGAAATATTATTTATAGAACGTTTTTTGAATTTTATATTAAAAGATATCACTTGTATCAGTTTCTTCTTTATTTCGATAAGAGATAAGATCAAATAGTCACTTATTTAGTATGTTTAATAATGTTAATCTCAATATTAATTGATAACTTTCTTTATAACTGAAATCTCTAATCATTTCTCTCCGATCTAATCAATTTGAATATCAATTAAATCAATCTTTGACATCTCTACCATATCAGATCTCGATTGACCCTCATTTCATGCCACTTTTCTTTGCGTGTACGTGTTTAATCGGTTTTGAGAGCTTCCTGTTGGGGCGATCAATAATTAATCAAGCGACCGAACTTCGATAACAGCCACGAAAAGTTCTCCAAAAATAAAAATAAAATAATTTATTTCTATGCATAATTCAGAACCAGTTCCAATCGATTTTCAATTTTAATGTTTTGCTGTTTATAACCATCTCCGCTGGCTGGCTGGCTGTCGCGAGCACGAAGCTGGAATTTAAATGAAATGAAATGTACACAACCAATATTTTACCGAGATCTGGGCAATAAACATACACACACAGAGATCCATTTTGAGGTGCGACTCAATTTTCCAGACGTAATCAACCAGTTTGGAGGAGTGCACTACGGATTCCTGGAAAGCGATTTTGTATGCAAGTTCGCCTCCACTTGAGCCCGCAAATTGTTCTTGAGAGGACGAGAGAGCAGGGACTGTAGGGACCTTTCAATCATATTCATGTACGTACACTATGTAGAGTGACAAACTGTCGCCAGTTACCCGACTACGGCATTATCTAATCGCGACATAAGCCGGTCCCCACATAGGAACCTCAGTGTACCTATTTATACAGATAAAGAGCCAAAAGCAAACACCAGGGCCAGTTGAGACTTTGACTCGCTCCAGCGCGAGTTAATGAGGTCACAGCACTCTCCGCTCTACCCAGTCCGAGCTGCTTTCATGGCTGGTAATTGGCCGGAGGTAGTGGCTCCACTCCACTCCACTCTGCTCCGAGCCGATCCGATCCGATTCGATTCGATTCGACGTAGAGCTCCGTCTCCGGCGAATTATGAATACCTGAATCTGAGCACATCTTTTATGGCCTAAGTGGGGAGTCAAACATTTGTCGAGATCATCGTCTTGTGTGTCCGTGTGTGTGGGTTTACTTCGGTTAGAGCCATGTCTTACACAGAACTTAAGTGTCGGCACATGCGGCGTATGCGTAATATCGTCGCTTTGCTCTGGCTCGCTTAGAAGTTATTTGCGGACACACAAAGCATGATTGCCATACGAAAACAGCACAAAAAGCTAACTATTTCGAGCGATTTAACGATCCAGCCTTATTGTTTTAACAGCTCGGCCAACAATGATGTCATTTGAATGGGATTCAAGAGGGGGAGGTATGAAAGGCGGTTGAGGGAAAGCAACCAAATGCAATTCGCTCGTTGAGGCTTTTCCAACGTTTTTTTTCACTACCCAATTGAGCGTGACGCTCGCTCCGCATATTTCGCACCCACATTGCGTTGACGTTTTACCTTAACCCTGAATCTAATCGATCAAGCCTGACAGAGAGTCATAGAGAGATACAGAGATAGAGACTGGTGCCATTTGCATTAATCAATTTCTGCCATAAAACATTAGTCACCGAAACCATCGGTGGTCGCACCGAAGTAATAGAAAACAGCTGACAAATGGGGCAATGTCTTGGCCCTATTTTCGGCTGCAACTTTCTCTGGTTTTGCAATTGTTCTTTGTACTCTGGACACACAAAAGTTGGGTGTTTGGTAGCTGTAGCTGTAGCTAAGCCCCTTTTGGTGGGATTGCCTTGATTTGCTCTGGCCCAGGCCATAACTCAAGATCTCTGACTTAAGCCGATTTCACAGCGTCAAAGTTTGGGTTCAGGGTCTGCAACTGCGTTTGCCTCTGCGTCGCTGTCTCCTTCTCCGTCTGGGCTTGGATCGTTGGCCAAGCTAATGAAATGCAGAAACTCTTGTCTCTGGGATGTGACTCAGAGGAGTGTGTGTGTGCTTACGTGCCATGCGAGTGGCAATACGCGGCTCGGAATGCGGCCTGCAACTTGCCAGTTGGCCACGTTAGCAATGGCCCAACTACAAGCGGAATTCATAATTGCAACCCTTACAAATAGTTTTGGGGGAATGGGAACGGAGTAGTATCTTCAAGAGAATAAAGTGCAAAGATGTACAGTCTTTCAAACACGCTTAAAGCACACAAGAAAGTAACATAAACACTCAGATTACATAAACAAATTAGGAATTATATTCCTCAACTTAAAACATCTTTCATGCTATTCTATGGGATTCTATGGGATTCAGGGGCTCAGATCCTAAAACGTACAAGTACTGAGTGCACAAATATTATCTTAAATAAATATTTTTCATGATGTTTTATATACAGATTTAATCATCCAATAATAACTAGTATTATATATTTTTAATATTATATATTATTAAATATTTTTAAACCGAGAAGTGTTGAGAAAAAGCTTAGTTAGGCTTACTTATGATAGATTTTCTATTCGATTCTATAATTCAACTGCAAACTAAAAGGGTAAATAAACACAAAGGCTACACAAAGTTGGTTTCCCTTCTTGAGATTTTATCTGAATTTAAATACCTAAATATGAATTGTCAGTCTACAAGCTGCTTTAGTTTTTACAACAATCGGTACATTGCAATTTCCCCAGCAACTGTGCATGGTAATTTCTTTATTGCTATAAAAATCAGATTGCAGGCCTTTCGACAGCACTCAGCTTACTCAATTTCAATACTCGATGCTGATTGCTAGGTGCTAGGTGCTTAGCCCTCGACACTTAATAAATATATGGATGGCTCAGCGGGTTGACAATTTCAGGCATTCGCCTGCTCGACCGATAAACAATACGTGATGGCTAAAGCGCCTTTGTTGTTTTGACGTCGACAAAGCCCCCGGTCGAGTGCAAAGTTTAGCGCAACAAAGTCGGAAAAATCACACTTTGGCGGCTAAACAAATCAGGTTTTCCTAGGCGGACACACACAATGAAAAGCTCTTTTTCCAGGTCGGGGAAAAGTCGTGGAGCGATCCAGATATCGCTAATGAACCGCCCTCGCATGGCCAAAAGCCGGTTTCTCATTTACTCCTCGGGTTCTTAATTTATGCCCTGCTTCCTGCTTCAGTATCGAGGCTATATATACGATACGCCCGATAAGTATAGTTGATCTGAGCAGAAAACAAAGAGCACTTGCTGGCAAGGAAGCAGGCATAAACATCCGAGTCGAGTGGCTAAATATATGACAGTTTTAATAACTGAAATCCCGGGAAGGAACTTCCCCAGCGACGATAACAATAAAAAGCACTTTAGGAGCGGAAGAAATTTCAAGTACAACTGATCATCAGAGGGATTACGGATCGATAAGTTTTGCGGCAGCTTCAGGTAAAGATTTTTTTCACACAAAAGGTGGCTGCCAGCTGCTGCTGTGAAAAAAAATCAAAAACAATGCTCAAGTCAAGCTCCAGTGGCCTTCTAAGATTAGCTTGGCGATTTCCTACATTATAGAGGCCTTATGAATCGATTGCCAGTCGTTAATTATTGTCACAGCGATTGTGAGTGACTTTTGCAGAGAGTTCAAGCAACTTGCGGACTTGTGCCTGACTTTATGTAGAAATTCTCTTTGGAAATTGAAATGACTTTTAGCCAGAATTTTCGTAACTCGTAAAGTCATCTGCCTGACTTTTGGCTACCGCCTCACAAGCTTGGCTTACACAGCAGCTGCCGCGAGCCAAAAACCAGTCTGGCCATCTTTTTGAGCCAACAGTTTCCCCTTTTTTTTTTAACAGTCAGCCAGCGAATGAGTGAGTGAGTGTGTGTATTTGTGTGTGGTCAAATGTCGGCATTTTTTTATAACTTTTGAGTATATTTTTTATGTGCCCGCCTTGGGCAATTTCGACCATTGTACTCCGATCTGGCGACTGACTGCAAAAATTAACGTTGCAGAAATTATGTGCCAGAATGGAGTCAGCCGAATAGGATACTCTCTCGCATGATATATGGCTGGAAACTGGATATCTGTGGCGCATTTTTCGTGCGAATTCATGATCGTAAATCCCAAACAACTCGTGATGCTAATGAAACGGTCAACAAATGTGATTGAGTCGTGATCCGCAGATAGCCGGATCAGAAATCGGATGAGATTGGTTCGAACCACCCTAATGAAGCCGTCGTCGTCGTCGTCAGCTGAGTTATTTCCGCTCTGCCAAGGAACCCATATCCTCTCTCGAAAAAATAAGGGAACAGAATGCCTTCTACCTACACACACCAGTCGCTCCTCTCGTTTCACTTCCTGTTCCCGACGACGACGGCTATTTATACCCAGACAGTTCGGTCATTATCCACCCACGCTCACAACACACATCAACAAAAACAATGCACAGAGATATGAATGTGTATTATTTTGGGTATTTCTGGGTATTTTCCAGAGAGATTAAGCCGGAGTCAAGGCGAATCTACCTGAGTTTCGCAGCATTAGCTGACCTTGCAGATACCGTTGCTCTCTATCTACATATATATTCCTGCAAGGAATCCCGAGTCTTCTAAGGGTCTATATGATATTGACAGGTCACACCCAGTTTCCAATTTCAAACTGCTCGAAATCGATGACTCTCAATGGGCAGCCAGCAGGCCCCAGCTGCTCCCCACAATATCTCTGTGTAATATGATATAGAAATGGTGGCTTTTGGGGACTGTGCCCATGGGAAAAGGCCATCATTCAAAACACCACATGACTATGAACCCGTTGATAAGCACCGAAAACAACAAGCGCTTACGAGTAATAATAAATTCAAACCTAATAGATGTTTACGTTTTAACAAAACGTCGTTGTTAGTATCATGATTTTAGATCGCTCGGTTATGCGATATTTTATGTCGAACTGTTTCAATAAATTCCCCCCCCCCCCCCCTGAAGAATCGAACAAATCGAATGTGTATCCGTATCTGGTTACAGTACAGGGCCATTAAATATAACAGGGCGGGAGATCAGGGTTTATCTCGAGCCTCAACTCAACTCGAATGTCAAAGTGTTCTAGAAGCGGTTTCAGGAAGGCATTTCCTCGTTCCATTTCCCCGGGCTAATTAGATGCACGACACTGCAATGCACTCAAAAAACACTTTACGATGGGGGTGCTGCATGCTGGCTGGATACTCTCAATCGGGATCATATCGGATGTATCCCGGACTAGTAGACGTATTATGATGAATTGGTTGACTCACGAGTTTCCGACTGGAAAACGTATTTGCATACATGTACAAGTATGGCCAGTGCCAGTGCCAGTTACCGGTTTCTCTCTAAACTTGAACATATATTTCGCTCCGCACACAACCAAGTGGCATATATAGCACTACTAATATATATATATATGTATATGTAGCCCAGTATACAGATATCGCTGCAATGACAGAAATGGAATTAATTATGGTCGGCGTGTCGGCGGCGCCTTGGCTCAACCCAAAGCCAGCCAGCCCAAAATCCAAAAAAAAAAAGCCTCGCTGGGCTGTCGTCTGGCTCGGAAAATCTTTCGTGACTCGATGAAATGTTAGCCAAGAGACCTAAACACGTTTAATGTGCGGTCTCGCGACTGCAGTTTCCCTTCGGGATTTCTCCGCAGCCAGCTCCTGAGCTCTTAACTTGACACCCACACACAAAATTGCAGCAGACTGAGCAATGAGCTCTGGCTAAGCGCCTTTTGAGCCGTCTCTGTATGTCTAATTAAATGCTCTAACAAAGGCTAAGTGCACAGCAAGAGATTCCTCGAGATGCCAAGAATTATTAATTAAGATAAATTTAATAGATTTATAACTTGTATAGTCTAATAAAGGTAGTCAAACTCCTTTATTAAATTCCCAAAATGCGACTTAAGTATTTCAAAGAATATCTGTAGAGATAGATATCTTTTTAACTAGAATCAAATTATCTACGAAGACCCAGGTAATTCCACATTTGTTAAGAAAAACAAAGAATTTCCAAGGTCTGTGTAAGTCCCCTTAGATTTCTTACCATTTAAAAATAGATCTTATTAAACAAATAATTACTTTCAAACGCTACAATTTGACTTAGGAAAAACCTATCGTTACCATTTTTTTCACGTGTTGAGAGTCAGACATATCTATATTTATACATATGTATATAGTATATCGGCTGGATAAACGCGATCTATTTTGACCGCCTTAACTGCGCACTTTGCATTTGCTTGGATCGTTTGCCTGCTAACAAAAATTAATATCCAAAGCTCTTTGTTTGCGACTGGAGGAGCCGTGGTTTCGAATTATTTGTTTGCCATGAAAATAAAGGCGGTCTCCTTTGAATGTATGTGGAAAATGTGTGCATTCCAAGAACGAGAAGCTTGAATCTCCTAGAGAATCGTGTTTACAACAAGAAATTTCAGAATTTGGCAGAAGCGTCGAGCTAGAAAACGAGTTCTTAATTGGCATCAAGAGGCACTACGCGTTGGGATTCCCCTGACACTCGGCAGCAAGTGTGATTACTTAATCGATTTGTTAGGGTATGCAAATTAGTCGACCATAATCAAAGGGCAAACAAACCGAAAGGCAAATAAATAAGCCATGGATTTCAGCTGACGACAAGCGGGCTCGGAGTCAGGCTCAATCTCCGTCTCCTATTCAGACAGAGAGTCAGCACTTCTGGACTCTTTTTTACTGTTTCTGGGTATGCAGAGTTACTTATTCATTTCTGTTTTGCCGAGGGAAGTACATGACGGATGTGGTCGAAAGTGCGATTGCTTTCGCGCCTATGCTGAGTAACAGATCGAAAATAAGCAAAGAATCATTTGGTCTTGTTTATTGTGAAAACAATTGCCATTAAACGATAAGCACAAACATTTGGAAACTCGAATTTGCTGACTGAATTAGCATGGGCAATGATGTCAACTGCCGAGGTGCTAACTCCGGGAGTCAACATGGCTCACTATTTCGCCATAGAGATCCGCAGTTTTTCGGGGAAATGGGTGATACGACGACGCATTCGCATTCTGGCTCTGAGGCCAGCCCTGAGCATTGCCACTTCACTTGAACGCTGTTGATTCAATAAACGTATATCTGCTTATCTGGCCCGGACAATTAGCGATAAGATACGGCTCCGTTTGGGTGTGAGTCGTTGGGTTTCCACCTTCTTGGAAGTAACGTTGCAACAATGACTGTAACTGTACTGGTCCATTTCCATTCCAGTTTGCCCATCAGCCGGAGAATGGGTCGCCAGACGACTTGCAGGCTGGTCCTGCTGCTGGCCTTCAGCCTGGCCCTGATCCACGCCAGCCAATCCAACTCCATAGCCTCCAAGATCCACTTCGTCCATGACGATTTGAAGGATAATGAGCTGAGCTCCGCCGAGGATTCGACTCCTGTCGAGAACCTGCCCAAGATCTCCACGCCCAAGGTCAAGGAATTACCCGTGGAGGAGACGACAACCACCAAGAGCCCTGCAAAGAAGAGCACAACCTCAGCTATCAACGAGGAGGCCATCAAGGATCTATTGGAGGCTGCCAAGCACAGTCAGGCCCTGGCCGATGATCCACATTTTAATAAGATGCTCAAGACCGAGAACACCACGTCCTCATCCTCCTCCGTCGGCGGAAAGAACTCCACCGATAGCGATGAGAACTATGAGTACGACAACTATTCCTACGACGATGATGACTACAATTACTTTGACGAGGACAAGGAGACCACCTCCGCCAGTGCCAAGAAGGGCAAGGCCACCACTGTGAAGCCCAAGTTGGTGCCCATTGACTCCACCTCAAAGCCGAAGGTAATTTGCAAATAAATAATTATAGCTATCAAACCAATAATTAGTAATATCTTGCTTTGAATTAATAGTTGTGCTTGGAAGTAATATTGTAAACCAAAAATTAATCTTTTACAGGCCAAGACCACCGATCAGAAGACCAAGGATAACACTATTGATAATGAAAGCGACTCTAACTACGACGAATACGATGATGATGATGACGATGATGATGATGATGAGGATGAAGCCTCTGATGATATTGCGGATAATGAACAGGTAGTGTTCAGCGAGGATGTTCCCTGCCCTCGATTCTGCCAGTGCTCTCGCAATGTCAACAGCTACATGGTGGCAACTTGCAGCAGGTTGGTTCTTAATAAACTACAAAGCCCATAGAATGGTTAAGTAACTTTACAAATATCCCTTTAGACTGGACCAGGGCACCCAGAAGTTTGGCTCGGACATCACCGACGTCGTGGTGACCAACGTTGGCCCCAAGTACCCAATCCTGCTGGGACCCAAGTTCTTCTTCAATCTGGGTCTCAAGAATGTGGCCTCCATCAAGATTGCCAACTGCACCCTGGAGTATCTGCATGACGAGGCCTTCCATGGACTGAACGAGCTGTATGCCGTGAATCTGACGGATGTGGGCTTGGCCATCATCAATCCTGATACGTTTGCCCAGAACAAGAAGTTGCGCATGCTCACCATTTCGGGTAACGATCTGAGCGTGATGTCCAGCGTTCAGTATCTGCTCAAGGTGAGTCTTCAAACAAATTTCTGCCCCTTCAATCCCTTTTATTAATGATCTTTGCAGTCTTCTAGCATTGAGGAGCTGGATTTCTCGCGCAACAATCTCGTGGAGCTGACTCCCAAGGCCTTCTCCCAGCTGACCAATATTGTGTACATTAACCTAAGCCAGAACAGCCTGAAGAAGCTGCCCGAGAAGGTGTTCGAGACGGCATCCTCGCTGGAGGAAGTGGATCTCTCCTACAACTCGCTGGCCGAACTGCCACGCGAGATCTTCAACGGCACCACGTTGTCCATTCTCCATCTGAAGTACAACACTTTCAATGGCGACCTGCACTTCGGCACCAAGGACCTGCAGCAGCTGGATTTGAGCTTCAATGCCATCGATCAGGTGCATCACAGCATGTTCGACATGATGCCTGGTCTGACTAACCTGAACCTGAAGGGCAATGGCATCAAGAAGATCCAACCGGACTCGTTCCTCCTGCTGAAGAATCTGCGCCACATCGATCTGTCGATCAACGAGCTGGACCAGATCTCAGGCATGCTGTTCTTTAAGAACTCCGAGCTGGACGTGATCCGTCTGAATGATAATCCCCGTCTGAGCCAGCTGCCAACCGATGGCTTTGTGAGCTACAGCGGAGAGTTCACTGTGTACTACTTGGACATTTCCAACTGCGCCATCGGCCCAATGGGCCACAAGACCTTCTCCACGATGCCACACTTGACCACCTTGAAGCTGGCCTGGAACAACATCAACCACCTGCCCAGGGAGATCTTCAGTGGTCTGCACAAGCTGATTGATCTGGATCTGAGCAACAATCTGATTCCTCGCATGGACGATCTGCTGCTCATGGATAATGGAGATCTGACTAAGCTCAACCTGGCGGGTAATCCTATCAGCCGGCTCTCTGTGCGTCTCTTTATGCCCCTGCACCAGCTCCGTTCCCTTGATGTCAACGACTGTGAGCTCACCTCCCTGCTCTCGGATCGTCAGTTGGGTGAGGGTTACAAGATCTTCGAGAGCCTGCGCAGCTTCAATGCCTCTGGAAATCTGATCAAGAAGATCTCCTCCGCGGATGTGAAGAGCTTCAAGAACCTACGCTCCCTGGATATCACAAACAATCCTCTGAAGTGCAACCGTGACTTCCAGGACTTCATTAGCTACGTCACCCTGCAGATGCAGATGACTCCCAAGCGCCTGCCTGTGCTGGCCAACCTCGAAGATGATGCCACCATTGTGGAGCTGGAACATCAGGCTCAGGCCGGATGGGCGACTCTTGCCCATGAGGTGTGCAAGCATGCGGAGACTTCGCTGGATCTCCAGGATGAGAAGAAGGCCGACAGCGCCGAGGCCAAGCTGGAGAAGCGTCTGAAGGAGAGCGAGAAGAAGCTGGACGAGGACGAGGAGAAGTTACTCAGTGTCCTGGACAAGAGCGTGCTGGACAAGAACAAGCTGAGCAGCATGCAAAAGATCATGAAGGGATCGGACAGCGCCAACGAGAAGAAGCCAGAGGAGGACAGCGCCGAGGAGGATCTGAACAATGGCGGCGAGGACAAGGATGAAGACAGCAGTGACTATGAAAGCGACGAGGACGATGAGGATGATGACGATGATGATGACAACGATGATGACCGCTTCGAGGAGGCCAAGAAGAACGCCAAGACCAAGGGAGAATCTGATCGTTCCTTTGACAAGTTTGTGAACAAAGAACTGAAGCCCCTGCTAAAGAATCAGGGTGTCAAGGCCGAGGAGGTGGACCTGTCCCACGAGACACGCGATAAGTTCCTATTGGGTGAGTATTAATTTCCCATCTATTATATATCCTTATTATATATCCTTGCCTTTATCCAGAGAAACTCGGCTTCGAGACCGACGAATCGGATGACAGCAATGACGAGGAGATCTTCATTGAACGCGGCCGCATCTACTATGGCAACTACAACATGCTCATCCCGGTGATCATTGTGGTCAGCTGCGTCGTCATGATCCTGCTGGCCATTGCCCGCGTGGTCTACGTGGTGCTCCGCAAGCGCGGCGAGCGCTATCGCATGGCCCTGCTGGCATCCAAGAACTCGTTCGTCTACCAGAAGCTGAGCGAGGACATCGTGAAGCCGGTTGGCAAGGAGCAGAAGCAACCCAAGGCGATCAAGCAGCCCAAGGTGCACCGATACGCGCCGATCAACCAGGTCTAAGTCCCCCTAGAATCAGCAGTTCCGGGCCGGACACCGCGGAAGTCGAACGAGTTGCGCTGTTTTTCTAATTTATAAGTTTATTGATAGTTGAACAAGTGGAAAATCGCATCAGACACACACACAGACACCAGAATGAACCGAGGAGACAGCAGGAACAGACCAGGAAGGGAGTTACAAGTATTAGCGAAATGCGAGAAAACAAAGCAACAACTGAGAAATACTTAAATCCAAATAGGAGCGAAGTGAAAGAGAGAGTGGAGAGAGAGAGAATGAGGAGAAATAAATATTGATAGAGACCCCCTGAAATATCCCTGAAATAGTTTATCCCCACCTTATCCAGAGGACGAGTTCCCAAATCCCACATATCCATTAATAACCCTCCTTACGTATGAGAATTTCGGGAAAAACTTGAAGATTTAGTGCCATTTTGCCAAATTCCAAACAGAATGAAAAATTACTTAAAGAAACACACACACACTTACTTTCCAAAGGAGTTAGTAGCAGAGGGTAGTAAGAGTCTTAGATCCGGATCTGTGTAGCTAACTGTTAGAGGACTCCCTAGAATGACGTCTGATTTACAATCTGATCATGAGATGAGAGAAATAATTAATGCATAAACTATGTTAAGTCTTTTTTATTACCTTTTTTCCAATCGAAATCAAGTAATCGCTTGACTTATTTGACTTTGAAACCAATTCCGAAAACAATAAATTATTTTAACCAAACCGATCGTAATCTTTACTATATGCATACTTAGTAGACGTACGAACACACACCTTAACCTTAACAAGCCGTTCAATAAAATTGAATATATTTTATCTGCGTTCAATAAACGATTCAAGTGGCCGACCATCCTTATCATCGAGGGGATTTTGAAGGGTTACTTCCCAGGGAAGTCGTATAGTTCCGGTTTGTGTTAGAGTATCTAAAAGTTAGAGTATGTCTTTTAATTGGGTTTATAAGCGTTGAAGGGCTTTCCAAGGCAGTTGCTCTTAAAGTGGAAGTACTAAAATGTAAAGGAATACTCTTTGTTCCGAGATTTTGCTTTCCTAAGTTGAATTTCCAGAAGGAAGTAGCAGAAGAGGTTTTAAGAGAGTGTTCTAAATAAAGAATGAGACTTTAAGAGAAGCTTACACCGGCTTAATAATCTCTGAAAGTCAAGCGCTCTTTTCTCTTCTGTGTCTTCAAAAACTCAACTAAAAGCTTTACCAAACCTATAACTCATAAAATAATAGCAGATAAATATTGAATTAAAACCCACCTAAACCCAAGTAAAAAAGTAAAGAAAGCATGAAATCAAATTTACAAAATATTCAATATAAAGTTAAATGGTATTTTTTGTATAAATTTATATAAAATAGTCTGGCATCTTCTATAATCTTCCAAGCTTTAGTGTGATCTTAAATCCAGACCAAGATCCGTTAGTTAAAGACTTTTCTTCAAGCGAACCAGTTGAGCGTGGGTAAGTTGAGCTCCCAAATTAGTAGACCACCATGGCGTTCTCAAACAATTGCGCCAGGTTCTCCTGTGTCTGTGCCCTGGGCGCCAGCTTAGTGATCCTCTCCTGGGGCAGGGTTCCCTCCACCAAAGCGGGCACATCGCTGCTCGAGAACCCAAGCTCACGGAGGCCATTTTCGATGCCAGCGCGTTGCATATAACCTCGTACAGTGTCCGCCAAAAGTCGACCGGCGTCTGATTTCTTCACTCCCCTCACCTCGGCGCCCAGCAACTGGGCGGCCTCCAAGTGACGCTCCGGACAGGCGGGAGCCGTGAATTCAAACACTGCCGGAGCACTGATCACCACAGACAAGCCATGCGGGATTAGGGCATGATCTGGAGAGTAGCCTTTGGGCTTGTAGTCCCTGACATTCCCAGAAATGGGATAGGAGAGTCCATGGCACAGGTGGACGCCGGCATTGCCAAATCCCACACCCGCCATTGTCGATGCCAGGTGCATCTGTGATCTGGCGCTCAAATTATCCGGCTGGTAAATGGCATCCACAAAGTTGTTGCGTATTGATTCCAAAGCAAATCGTGCCCAGACATCCGACACGGGGTTCCTGCCCTGGTAAGTGGGTCTCAGGCTGGGATCACTGGGCGCCGGACCACGTTCCCTGTAGTCCACCGCCGTAAAGCTCTCCAGGGCATGGCAGAAGACATCGAAGCCAGCAAAGGCCATGACACGTTCCGGCTGGGATAGTGTGTGCAGGGGATCAATCAGAGCTACAAAAAAGAATTTGGGTTTAACAATCATTTAAATACTTCTAAACTTATTGAAACTCCTACCCAGAGTAGGCTTCAGGAACTTGCTGGAGATCCCTGTCTTGGCATGCAGCTTCTTGTAGTCGAAAATGGCCACTCCAGTAGTTTCCGAGCCAGTTCCTGAGGTGGTGGGCATGGCTATCAGAGGTTTCAGCTTCACAGCTATCTAAAAAGATTTTACAAAAATTACTACATCATTTTTTAAAATTAAATTCAAGTATGCAAACCTCTTTGCCCTTGCCAATGGGAGCGTTGACATAGTCCAGAAATTCCGCATTTCGATCACTGCTAAAGAGATTAGCTGCCTTGGCTGTATCAATAACCGAACCGCCACCAATTGCCAGGAATGCATCAAAGTCATTCCGACGGGCAAACTCTGCTGCCTGCCACAAACTGCCATCGGTTGGCTCCACGCGGGTTTCATCATAAACTTCGTAGTTGATGCCATTCCGGGCTAATGAGTCCAGAGCCACCTTCACGGAGGGCAACCGAGCCACATTGCGATCAGTCACCAGGCACACCTTCTGGGCACCCAAGTTTCGTAGATCAGCTCCAACTTCGCCACTCACTCCAGGTCCAAATCTCACAGTTGAGGCGGACATCTGATTAATATTTGTTAATAAATTTAAATAAAAAGGAAGCTTAACTTGGTTAGCCAATGTTTCCAAGCAGTTTTAAAAATCGATTCTTAAATATGCAAATATTTTTTACTAAACAAAGTTTAGAAAAGCTATGACTCAGTGAAAAAAGCATTAATTTTAATTTGGAAAACTGTCCTCTGATAGTTTTTATGGGGTTACTAAAATTGTTTTCCCTCAAAACATGCCTGGATCTACTCGCCTTTTGATGCTAATCAATAGTTCATTTATAGAGCGGAAATGACTCCTTTTATTCTTAAAAATCATGCAAGTTATTTTATTCGGACTAAGAAAGTCCCTTAAGTTTCTTGGCCAAAAACTTGCAATATTTACATAAAACTCTGTATAAATAGATCATTTCCCAGACATTAAGTTCTCATCATAAAAAGGCGGAGATTGCTATCTGCTCCAGACTTTGGCTGTCTGTCGTCTGCAGGTGATCTTACTTATCTTTTTGGCTTCTGGCCAAAGTCCAAGGTAAATAATACTTGCCTCAAAGGCGTATTCCATGCGACCAGTTTGAACTGCAGTGGGGGAGGCGGAGCCATAATTATGTGAGTGGGCGGGGCACTTGCAGCTTTAATAAGATTATATTAAAATTAAACTGGTGCTTAATTAACATAAGACTTACGAGTTGGCCACGATCGTGTTGATCAAACTCAAGACATTCTTGCGCGACATTTTGTACACAAATGAAAACAGATGTTTGAGCTTTGCGTTTGATAAGAACTGGAATCGTTAATGAGCGCCAACCGATAGCCCTGGTCAATCGATAACTAACCATTTGAATTTCTCTTCCACTCTTTACAGAAAACAAGAAAACCCGAAATATGTGCGACTATCAGCAAGAATACTCCTTTGTTTTCGAGGACAGCTCCTGCGAAGGCGATGTCTCCATGACCCCCACGACAATGGATTTGAGAGCCTGTGGCATCAGGTGGGGGAGGAGCTGCGTCGCGAGCGTGAGATGAACGAGCTCGGCCAGCTTTTCCAGCAAAAGCTGACCTTGAGCCCGCCGCCCAACACAGATCAGTGGATGTTTTAATTGGAAAACAACCTGATAGAAGCCAGCTTTGTGATATTTGTATAAATAATAAGTTATTGTTAATAAGTTTAGACAGATCAGTTGGTCTTTGTAAGAGCATTTCTGAGAGATGCTTGCTTGCTTGTTGTATCATCAGTCCCCAAAATGGAGTTTTTGTATACCCCTGTTCGAATTGAAGATTAATTTTCCGTGTTTATCGAACGTTTCCATTTGTGAAAAATCCGCGTTATTAATTTGTTTATTTTTTAACAATCTACTTATCCAAGTCCCAGACATATATAATTGGCAATCATTTGCTGTCGATATCGTACACTATTTGTATTTCAAAAAGTGATCGCATAATGTATACAAGAACAACTTAAGGGAATATCGTAAGTGTTTTATAGATCCTTAACAAGAACGACTCTGAAATATATATGAGCAATAATAGTAAAATAATGCTAATTGTTTTGAATGAAAGATCCCACACTCAAATGTGATTGTAATGGGAGAACAATTGTTCGCTGGAGCTAATTACCTAAATGAATGTCCGCCCACTTTTAACGCTAGATTTACAACTCAATTTGGCTCACTATCACCACGATCAGCGGACATAAACAACTGGGAAAGGTAAGCGATGTTGACGGGTATTCCCTTGATTAGCATTTGGCGCCAGACCATAAAACGTTCGATCCCCAGTGGATGGGTCAGCAGTTTGCATCTGATACTCGGCGTGACGACATGAAGTGGTTTAGCTTGTTCTTGGTTTTTGGCATCCTCGCCATCATCGGCAGCCTGGGCACTCTGACTGCCGCCGAACCGAATCCCAATCCGGAGCCCAAGGGTCGTCCTTACACCACACGACGTCCGCGCAATGACAACGATGACGATCGACGCTAGCAATCCGAGCGGATGGAGGAGATGGAGATGGAGACGGAGTCCGCAACCAAGTCCAAGCTTCCGCGACGCTGCACCGAACCACAAAGGACACAGGAGGCACATCAACTCTCGGTGAAGGTGAAATGTTTTGGAGTTGAGAGAATGCAATTCGTTGAGATCCTACTCATCTAGTGGGTGGACCTCCCACAGGACACAATAAATGCAAGTTCCGTTTACAACAGAGTTTTGATCATTGGTTTATTCGATAGTTTGTTCGTCATAGGTCTAGAGTTAAATTGGTCAGCTTAATAATACCCTGACGCTTTTTCATTTGTTTTGGGGATTCATCGATACTGATAGATTGGCGGATTAAGCGGGCTGACTTTGACTTTCACTTTGACTTTGACTTTCTTTGGTTGTGCGAGAGTTTGGGGGAAAGTGCGTTTTGTCTGTTTTTAATTAGCTTATATTTGATTCTGTTTACGTTTCTGTATTTTGAGTTTAACCATTACCATGCGATATTGAACGCTGCTTAGGGCTTACCATAATTTACAAGTTATCAAATTTAATTCAATAGTTTCCGTTTCCGTTTCCGTTTCCATTTGCTTAGCTACGATAGTTTCGGTTACAAAATAATTTCAATTTATCTAAATTGCAATCGCATCTCCAGTGTCGGCTAAGTATTCTGTGAGTATAGTGCCTCCGTCTCCATCTCCGTCTCCTGGTATTAAATCGGTTTAAAGCTAGCTTTACAGTTACAATTACAAATTACAAATATAGAATTACAATTACAATGATTGATTAAACTATTCCCGTTACTGTGTGTGTGTGTGGGTTTGATTCGATTTCTGGGCTTAGTCTACACTAGATTTATGTCGGTAATTATATTAGCATATGGTTCGTAGTTATATCTGATTTGATCAAATGCTTACTCGCTTATTTGTATTCTCGACGCATATGTATCTGTATCTGCTGAATGCTTGTATCTCATAGGTGGGTCTGACACTGACGTGGAATGTGGAATAGAGTTTTGCTCGTTGAATCTAAGCTCAAATGCAGCTGGGAAGGTATGTATATAAAGTCGAGGGCCTGCAGCTGAGTATCTTTGGTAGTCTGGTTCCGCTGTCCACTCCCTAATGCTAACCTAATCTAACCTAGCTAGCACTCCTACTCGGGCGACTCCGAGGAGGCCGATATGCCACCCAGGCTGCAGGCTCCCACGCTGCCGGCACTCGTCGAGGCTCCAATATCGCTGATGCTCTTCACGCGCCGCCGACTCTGCTCATAGAGCAACTGCGCCTCGGCCACGCCCGCGTCCAGCGCACCGCCCACGGGCGGAGCACTCACACGGTGACCAGGCGGTGGACCATGGCCATGTCCATAGATGGCTCCCGCCGAGGGAATGGGTGGCGGAGCCGTCGTCGGCGGCGGAAGGAAGTGGTGATAGTGCTGCTGCTGCTGCTGCTGAGGATTCGAATGCGGATGGGGATACTGGTGGCCTATGGTTGCGTATATTCCTCCGCCACCTTCGCTGCTGCTGTACGAAGGCGTTGGGGAGGTGGAGTTGCCAAAGGAGCTGCGATCGCCGGTGCGATGGGGTTTGGTGTTAAACCGAAAGGCTTTTGAAAGGGAGCTCTGAAAGCAGATATAACCAATAATTAGAACAAGTTATTGAAATTGAAATGGAGGCTTAACTCACCTGAGATCCTTTCCATGCCGAAATCTAAGTGTTACAGAAGAAATGAAAAGAATAAGTTTTGTAATGTTTTAAATTAAATTGATGTAACCCTTTGATAATTGATAGTTTCCTGGTACTGGCGTGAGGCTTATGTTGTTGCTAGCTGCCTAGACTTACTATACCATTGGGAAACTATTTGTTTGATTTTAATTAGAAGTTTTAAAATGTTTGTGTTTTGAGTTGACTTGATGTTGTTTTAATGTATAATCTGTGTGAAAACAGTGACATGCTCTTTAAAAGGGTACATATAATATTTGAATACTTTACTTTGGCTTAGGTTTAAATGAAACTAAACAATTAATACATCTTAAAAGTGGTCCGGTACCGCACTGTATATCTGGTTTGGAAGCCAGTGTAAGCCAGATAAATATATAAGATTTACTGCAACTTTGTTGATACCTAACTCTGATATTTATCTTCAGATATTACAGAGAATGTTATCATAAATCCACTTATTCATTTATTTATTAATTTAATTTAAAGTATCTAAACTGTTTAGATATTTGTAAACTGGAATTTCTGTAAATGTGATATCTATACTTCACAGGATAACATTAGACACCGAGCAACAACAAAAGCTTCACGTCAAGACAGGCTTTGAACACAGCAAGAGTAAGGACATTTGGTAGAGTATTTGTAATTCGTATTATAGACATAATGGTTATAGACTTGATAAATCATATAGAAATCGGTACTTACCCTGAGGCTACCGCTCGAGCGGCGATCTGTTGTGGCATAGTGCTGCAGTCCGCCGGGTCCCGTTAGTGGCACAACGCCGCAACCGGAACGGATGCCCTGACCGAGAGTCGCTCTACACAACAAACATGGCAATTTCGATTTGCGAATTTTTGCATAGGTCATATGCGTGTGTGTGTGTGTGGGTTGGAGTGGGTGACATATAACATGTTTGTTGTGGTTGTTGTTGTTGTTGGGTGAGTGGGTTGGTTTGTTGTTGTGGTACATGTATTTTCGATTTTCGTAGGCAGGCAGGCGCAGGCAGCACATAGAAGACAGGACACAGACAGCAGATGAGGGGATTTGTGGAGAGTTTTGGATCGATTGGTTTGGTGAAATTGGAGAGTGCGGGTGGTCGGGCGGTCAGGCAGAGCATCAGATATAGCGATACAGAGACAGAGATAGAGAGAGAGCAGGCAGGCAGCAGGCACACATACACACACAGAAATTAGTTTCATTGATGTGTTGTTGATTGTTGTTGTTGGTTGTTGTGTTGTTGATGTTGATGTCGTTGTCGAGTTGTTGGTTGGGTATTGTTGTCATTGTTGTGTTGGCAATCGTGTTGGACAATCAAGCAGAGGTTAGCAACAACAACAAGCCGTTGATTCGATTACAATTGGAAATTGAAGTGGTAACACATACGGATGGCAAAGCAAAAGAGAGTGGATAAAATATAGGAAAGATGGAAAAAAGAAATGGGACAAAAGACGATAAAATTCTGGTTAATCAATGTTTTGGAGAGTTTTGACTTTTTATTTGTTTCGTATTTGGTAATCGATAATTAGCATAAGTGACTACTCGTAGCGCAAAACAACAACTAAATATTTGTATTTAGGGTAAGAGAAAACCCCCCCTAGGAAAAGAAGAAAGAATAGGTATAACTCGAGAAAGAATATAGTATTTGCTAACAGAGACACGAAACCAGAGCAGCCAATAAAATTTGTATTTTTAAAGCCTTTGAGTTCCAATCACACAGTTTGGTTCGATTATCGATAATGTAATATAGTCGTATGCAGAGTGGTACTTAGTAAGATGACAACGTTTAGACTAGTTCAAGCTACTTAAGAACATTGATAACACATACATAGAACTTGTTGTCGAGTGTCTGCATATGTGTATGTGTGTGTGTGGGTGTTGGGTGTGTTGTGAGTGTGAAAGAGAGACAGAGAGATAGGCTACTTAGTAAGCAAGTTTTACTTACAATTGACACTGTAGTTGCAAATTGCAAAACCAAAACAACGACTTCTTAAATAAATTAACTTTTACCGAGTTAACCCTGCGGTTGCTTTCCTCAAAATATCTCAGTAATAACAAAATTTTGATAGCAACAGCCAATGCGAAATACTTCGTAATATAATTTTGGGTGGCCAAAAGTGTTGGAGAAACAGAGCGGTAACTCGAACCGCAGGGCAAACTCATTAGAACGCTCCACAGTATGCAACACCAAACATGGACTAAGTCAACTAACCACGGAAATGTTGATGTGTGTGTATGTATGTGTTCACGTTCATGTTCATGTGTGCGAGCGTGTGGTTATGTAATTGGTCTTTAAGGTTCAATTGTGCGTCGGTGGCCGGCTAACCGAGCTCTGAAAACAGCTCCCTGTATCACAGTGAACTTCTTGGGTGACGAAAGCCGCCGCTCGCATGGAAATATGTCTATATGTCTGTATTTGTGTGATGGTGGCATTCGCAATGCCCCATATATCCCTAGACTTGTAACATTTAATATCGTATCCGAGGAGCTTTCACTCCCCCTCACTCGATTACATTGACGCAAAAGCCTTAACTCTATTCGATACTACTACATTAAATGCTTGACTCGTAAACCAACCTATGTAAGTAAATGCAACGTTAAGCGCTCCTCGGGGAGTGTATCCTAATAATAATATCGATATCGGGGATATGCAAAGCTTGGACACTTGGTTTTGGATGTGTGCGTTCCTAGTTCGATGCCTACTGCACTTAATATATAATATATCTGTATGATTACTAATTGGATGTGTGGCTCTGATGCCGTGTGGATCTATCAACTATTCGTAATGACAAAGTGACTAGCGCTGTGCTCCAGTTATTGTTCTCTCCCTATAGTTTATTATCGTATCATCATCATCTCAGCTTGGCTAAACAAATCAGTTTGAGTCCCCCGTTTGAGTTTCGATTCGACACTCTCCCTGGTGGCTCGTGCGGATTTAGTGGCCCTGCAATTTGGCCAATTGTCTGGAGGCTTCCATTTGAAATTCTTCCATTTGACAGTAAATAATGTATCTGCATATTTTTTGGATATAGAAAGAACACAATAAATATCGGAACGAGACATTTTTTATATTTTTTTTGTGTGATTATTGGGAAAGAAAAGAGAGAGAAACATGGCCACGGGGGCCGCCATTAGTGCGATTCGCTTAATCGAGGCATTTTAGTTTTTTAATTTTATTTTTTACTTAAGTTCGAAAATTCGTCTAGGACACAAGTTCACAAGATCATCAACAATGAAACTAAGTACAGTATTATCTAATAGATGCAGGCCGTAGACCGTTACGTTACGATTTATAGATACAGATACAGATATGACGTCGCATGATATGACATCTAATGATTCGAGAAGCTGGCCCAGTATGCGAAAGATAGATAGATAGATGAATGGATGCACTTAAGAAGCAGCTGACAAAACGAATGATCTGAATGCACTAAATATATATAATAGCCAGTGATGGATGAGTGTACGTATCTTATGTATGTATGATGGTAATAAGCAGATGAAATGAGATC